CCAGTGTGTACACTGTTTTGTAGATGTTAGTCTCCTTTTTTTAAAAAAAAATGGAATAAAAAAAATAAAAAACGACCAAATAACTGGTGTCTCTAACCATAATTACCTCCTAAAATAACCCAAATCACAAACCGTCTCATTGACGTGCGTGGGCTTCTATTTCTCGTCACTGCTGGAATAGGAGACGCTTCTTAAAATGGGGTATGTTTAAGTGGAGCCTCGGTGTCACCGCTAACAAACCCACACGTTGCTATTCTTCCATTTAATCCTCGACGGCATTTCCCCGTTATGCCTCAGCTCCCTCGTGGGCTGAGGTGGTGTCATTTCAGACACAGACGGCAGTGGTGTGTTGTCATCACACACTCATCAGTCTGTCATTGCTACATTGGCCTCATTCGAAAAACTGCAGTGACCTATTTGACCAGCAGAGGGCTGCACCACTGTATGGAGACGCCTTGAAAGCACTCGAGGCCTCTCAATTAAGTTGTTTGATTGATTCTCTTCATTTAAGAGCATTTCTCTTGGCTGATTTTCTTTGTCCAATCGGATTTCAGCCTTTATGTGCTGCTATGCCAATCGAATCGATCTTCCAAATCAGCTGCGGTGTGTTACATCAACTCGAATTAGCGATGGGCTTCGTTAGCCACGTTTTAAATTCTTCCTCAGGGGCCCTCGATGATGTCACCATTTTTTTAGGTCCTCTCAAAGGTTTGTCAGAGCAAAAGCCATTTTTTATGTTTCAATTTTGACCAGCAAAACATTTCTTGGGAGATCTCCACACATGAATGCGCTTAAGAATCAGCATCTCTGTCGAAATTTTATTGAAATGTTGGATGTTTTTGTCATGTCATTAGTTGGACATGAATTCTGAAATGCTCCAGGGCACAGGTGCGTGCTATTATATTGTCCTTTTGTGTCCTCTCATGTCGAGCTAATTGGTAACTTTTTGTACTAAGGCCAATGAGTCAGATCTGGCCCATCACGGAAGCTACGACACTTTTATTTCTTTTATTTTGGTGGGAAATCTCGACCAAATTTGAAGATGTGCTTTTTTTTTTCAATCAATATTTTTTTTTTCAACAAACACCATTTTTAATGTATTCTGAACAATGCTGTAGTTGGACAAATAATTGACTGCCACTATTTTGCATTTCTTCTAATTTCATATTGGGTTAAATGCAGTGTAATACAACTACAGTGTGGCCATGCCAAAATTCCGCTGGACACCCATAACATAATTTTTTTTTTAAAAGCCCTGAATCTCGACCAAATTTGAAGATGTGCTTTTTTTTTTCAATCAATATTTTTTTTTTCAACAAACACCATTTTTAATGTATTCTGAACAATGCTGTAGTTGGACAAATAATTGACTGCCACTATTTTGCATTTCTTCTAATTTCATATTGGGTTAAATGCAGTGTAATACAACTACAGTGTGGCCGTGCCAAAATTCCGCTGGACACCCATAACATTAGAAAATTTTTAAAAAGCCCTTAAAGTGTATCATCAGCGGTCAAATCTCGAGTATGTCAATCCGCACGACGGCCCTTCTTAGCTAGGACTACGTGCTCATAGTCATGCACATGCGCGCACACGCAATGGAGAAAGTTACAGTCAGTGCTGGTCAAAGGGGCATAACAGGTATTAGCTTTATTGTTTTAGCAATGCTATAATGACAACCTATAATTAGAATGGCACACAGTGGACCACAGTCCCCTGCCAAGGATGAGCTGTCATGAACATCTCCTGTCCTGTAGGTGGCGGTAATTATTACAAAATTACTGCCACAGAATTATTTTCCCCCTTTTTTACCATTCTGGCTCACTGCCTCACTTGACCCCAATGCAAGCAGACTGTAACGGTTAATATATGATTTTTCGTGATTTTTTTTCCACCAATTTATTGGCTTTGAAATTTAATGTTTTTTTTTATTTTTTGGTAGAAACCACAGTCCCCTGCCAAGGATGAGCTGTCATGAACATCTCCTGTCCTGTAGGTGGCGGTAATATGCATTATTACAAAATTACTGTCACAGAATTATTTTCCCCCTTTTTTACCATTCTGAGTCACTGCCTCACTTGACCCCAATGCAAGCAGACTGTAACGGTTAATATATGATTTTTCGTAATCTTTTTTTCCACCGATTTATTGGCTTTGAAATTTAATGTTTTTTTTTTTTTTTTTTTTGGTAGAGGAATGGATGGATGGAAATTACTGAGGTAAATACAACCAGAAAGTTGGGAGGGAAAAATTTACAGAATGCACTTTTCCCATCTATTTACTTCACCAAACTTGACTGAGGCAAGGCACATGTTGAGGAACATTTCATGGCACACCACCAAACAAATATGTTGATATATACTGATGGCCTCAATTTAATTCAAATTTAGTGTGATTCTAGTCCTACGCCAGTGAGCCAAAACAATTTTGCCCATAAATCATAATCTATGTAAATCTATCACGAACCTATGCTGAGTCATAATTACACCATTCATGTTTTAAGAAACAAAAATCTGTAGACTGACTATCAAGCCTTGTGGAACACCATCCGTTTTCAAATTATGTAATGGCAAGTCATTGCTGAACCTTTTCTTGAGCCAAGGAACATATTTTTGCACCATCAAACAAAAACGTCATTAACAAGTATTTGTACCAAAATAATGAGGATATAGTCTACATGTAATCACAAATCAGACAAATCAAACGATTTCGACAAATCAAGGTACGGCTGGATCAATTGAACCGAACACTAAAATTTAGACAAGTCAGTCTTTTTTTTTTTTTCTCCCACCTTTCGCCACGCCCACACCTCGAGTGCACCAATCACGAGCGACCGGCGTCACACTCACACATTCAGCAGACGCACGCACACTACAGTGTGGAGTGCAGTTGGAGCTGGAGTGGAAGGACGCGTCCCGATTCTTGGATGATCATCTGACTCCGCTTTTGGTGCGCGCAAAGGAGACGTCAAAGCGGAGCATACGCGGCCTTCCGACCACCACGTCCCCCCACACACACACCCCCGCCGCGCTTAACGTGGCTCGGATTCAGATCGAAGGAGGTACAGGAGCGCTGCGCGAACGGCGGACTTGACTGGCACTGTCACTGTGGCGCAACAAGCATGGGATTATTATTCGGTGCGTAATGTTGCCACTGGGCCAATGCGGGAAAGCGCGCCGCCGCGGGACCATGTGAGACGTTCCTGATCGTGGCTCTCTGTGTTTGTGTGTAATGTGTGGATAGTAACCCCCCCGCCCTCCCCCGCCCCCCGGAT